TATTGATTCACAAAAGACTGGAATTGATCTAAAACCGTTCAAGAGCAAGTGCAGCTGACATAAACATATCTATGAACATGTCTGACTTTTGGCATAAATCTCGATAGAATAAACATACTATAAAGTAGCACCTAGCTGGAGCTATATAGCTTACTGCAGTCATTAAATAGGTATTTTTTGTGAATTTTTTAATTAAAAAAAAAGCAGTGTTAGTTTTAATAGATCAAAATCAAAAAATGTTAAGAGAAGTTTGTTTAAGACTTAAAGCCAGAAAAAAGGTTAGGATTCAGTTCAAACAGTAGGAAGGTGATTCTATCAACAGTTCGAGAGAAGACAAAAATCCTTAAATCTGGAAAAGAAAGCATAGAAGAAAACTGGTAATATTTTAGACAAAAGTGATAAAATTCTGTTCCACCATTGAACATCTCTCTTCTGTAGAATTTTCAGTGTTACTATTTCTATTTAAACACTGGAAGTTAACATTCAATGTTGTTATTGATTTTTCCAGAGTTGTCCCTACTATTAAGGTGGCCATTCTCTTGGTTATTTTTAGTACCCTTATTTCTGTGTGTCTGACTTTAGTTTTCCTGAAATAACACTTGCTTCAGAACTTCTCGGAGAGCTGGTCTGATGTTGGTAAATTCTTTCAGGTTTTGTTTTACTGAGAATGTTTTTGTCTTTTCTTCCCATATGAAGGATAATCTTGCCAGGTATAGTGTTCTTGGTTGAAATTGTTTTTCAAAACACCTTGAATATATTTCCCCATTCTTTCTTTGCTTGTAGTGTTTCTGATGAGAGATCTGATGTTAGCCTGGTGGGATATCCTTTGAAAGTAACTTGACATTTCTCTCTTGCCAGTTTTAATATCTTGTCTCTATCTGTGGTTTTGGTCAATCTGACTATGATGTGCCTTGGAGAAGATCTTCTTGAGTTGATTCTATGTGGGGTCCTTTGTATTTCTTGGGTCTGGATATTTGAATGCCTCTCTAGATTTGGAAAGTTTTCTTCCAAGATTTCATGGAATGGATTGTCAATGCCTTTATTAGTTTCTTCACCTTTTGGGATTCTGATTATCCAGATGTTTGGGTATTTATTGCTATCTAGTATTATTCGTATTAGTCTCATTTTTTTGAGTTATAGTCTCAGTCTTTTAGTGAATTTTCTAGATAAGGGTTCTGTCTTCTACATATGAGATTCGATCTTCTGCATGATCTAATCTGCTTTTAATACTTTCAAGGGATGTTTTGCTTTTTCCAGTATTACAGCTTTCATCTCTTAACCATTCAAATTCATTCTTTTTTATGGTATGTGTTTCCTCTTTCAGATCCCACAAGAACTTCCTCACCTCCTGGATCTCATCTCTTTTCTCCTGCATCCTCTGGAGTTCATTGTCTCTCTTATTTTGCATCTCTGTTAGCTTTGTGACTATCAATATTCTAAGTTATTTATCTGACATTTCCATGAGTTCCATTATATTGTCTGTGCAGGTGAAGAGTTATTCTTTTCCGTTGAAAGAGAGATGTTTCTTGACTTCTCATATTTCTTGGGCCTCTGTGGTGATTTCTGATAGGTTATATATTTTTTTCCTAGTTTTTGGAGTTAAATCTGAGCATTCAGAGTCATGCAGGAGGAGGTGTTCTGCCATCTCTCGGCAATTCCCTTTTTCTCCTTTAATGTAGCATATTCCATGGGAATTGAGGATTATTCTGACCCTACTAGATCTTGGAGTCAGGAGGGTGAACTTTGGGCAGAAATTCTTCATTTGTCCTAGTCCCTGAAAGAGTCCACTCAGAGCTCAAATGTAGATGATTTTGTCTGTTTGTGCTTTTTAATAAAATTTCCTAGTATGAATCTTAATTTTTGGTATTTTTATATTTTTATCTGAAAAAATTCTATTTTCAGAAGTAGTTTACTCTGAGTTCTAGCTATAATTGGTTGTTATTTGAGTGTACCTTATTGACTTATACACTGATTTATATGATATGAAGCTTTCTTTTGCTGTCTAGTTTCTCTTACCACATCTCCTTAAGTTAAAAGTCTAATCAGTGCTTGTTTAATAGTGATTTATCTGAATGTTCTAGAATCCTTTTTGTTGTTGTTGTTATAAGAATCTACTGAATATTTATTAGTACACAGTAAGATCTGTGATATATTTGGGGCTTATTTCTTCTCCTTGTGTGTTCTTGTGTTGCTTTTAGTCCTGTCCTCTTCTCCATGTCCCCACTCCCAATAGATCATCTCACTTTCAAAAATATTTAGTGAAAGTTTATTTAAATGTATCCTTAGGGGAACCAGCAGTTAGCATAATGGCTATGTCGCTGGACTCCCACGTAGTCGACCGCGGTTCGCTCCCCGGACCCCGTGGCTTAAAACTCATGCCGGGCACGTGTGTGTGTGTGCCCAAGATCCTGGGAGGAGAATGGAAGAGAAGGGATTGCGGCGTGCCCATCCCCCCTGGGGGGCGATTTCTCGCTTTCTGTCTCTATGTGTTTCTCTGTCTGGCAAGCGCACGCGCCCTATAGTGAAAATCTCTCCAAAACAAACAAACAAAAATGTATCCTTAGGATCCATGTTTGGGATCCTTCTATTTTATAGGTGGATAATTCTCCTAATAAAGTTATTTATATATTAAAATAACTATCATCTTTTACAAGTTGAATCCTATCTTCAATTTTCTTATTTCTTTTCAGGTTTAGCTTTAACTCTCATGTAAGTAAGTGAATATAAGAACTTCTAACTCAAAGTGACCTTAAGCATAAACAGTGATTGTGCAGCACAATAGATTGACCTTGGAAAAAGATGTTCTGCTTTGTTTTGTTTTTTTTTTAAATAAGCTATAGGACAGGACAGACTAGGATTGATATTTCTGCAAAGAGAAACTAGTGTATATTATTATGTCGCTGGACTCCCACGTAGTCGACCGCGGTTCGCTCCCCGGACCCCGTGGCTTAAAACTCATGCCGGGCACGTGTGTGTGTGTGCCCAAGATCCTGGGAGGAGAATGGAAGAGAAGGGATTGCGGCGTGCCCATCCCCCCTGGGGGGCGATTTCTCGCTTTCTGTCTCTATGTGTTTCTCTGTCTGGCAAGCGCACGCGCCCTATAGTGAAAATCTCTCCAAAACAAACAAACAAAAATGTATCCTTAGGATCCATGTTTGGGATCCTTCTATTTTATAGGTGGATAATTCTCCTAATAAAGTTATTTATATATTAAAATAACTATCATCTTTTACAAGTTGAATCCTATCTTCAATTTTCTTATTTCTTTTCAGGTTTAGCTTTAACTCTCATGTAAGTAAGTGAATATAAGAACTTCTAACTCAAAGTGACCTTAAGCATAAACAGTGATTGTGCAGCACAATAGATTGACCTTGGAAAAAGATGTTCTGCTTTGTTTTGTTTTTTTTTTAAATAAGCTATAGGACAGGACAGACTAGGATTGATATTTCTGCAAAGAGAAACTAGTGTATATTATTTTAGTTCTCTGAGAGCCTTGTTTCATTTTGACAAACGTAACATATCATCAAATAAAGAAGCCCCCACTAAAGTTTTCTTTCTTAGTTTCACAGTTCATATTGATTGCTCTGACTCATTAACTGTGTTTTCCTAGGTTTTGCTGGCACACCTGGATACCTTTCTCCAGAAGTTTTACGTAAAGATCCTTATGGAAAACCAGTGGATATGTGGGCATGTGGTAAGGATTCACATTTTCAAGCAAATTTGACCAGTATTTTAGCACATTTTGGCTGTTATAACAAGCTTTCATAGACTGGGTGACTTAAACAACAAATTGTTTCTCTCACAGTTCTTGGAGCTGGGCAATCCAAAGTCAAGATGCTGGTAGATTTGGTATCTAGTGAGGATCAGCTTCCTAGTTTGTCGACAGCTGTATTCTCTGGGTCTTCACCTGATAGAAGGACAAGAGAGGTGTCCAGGGTCTCTTTGATAGGCTCATACCCTACTGAAGACCCCACCTCCTAATAGAGTGCACTGGGGTTAATATTTCAACATATGGATTTTGGAGATTTAACTGTTCTGTCTGTAGCAACCAGCATCGTTAAAAGTAGTCTCCTTTAAATTTGAAGTTGCACTCCAAGGATCCACTTAGAGCAGAAGGTTTTCAAATTTTAACTGTAAGATCACATGGAGAGCTGGTTAAAGCATAGACGCTGTGTTTCTGATACGTTAACAAGTTGTCAGATGTTGCTAACCCAGCCTGTTTCAGAACACTCTGAGAGTAGGAACGCGGAGCAGTGCCCACACGGGCTGTGCGTCATGCTGCTGTCCTCTCAACTGTTTCAGCCAGCCCTTCCAACAGTCATGTTTGCCCAAGATGGTTGGCAGGGCTCAGGAGTGGAATGGCCAGTCATAGGAAATAATGAAATCGACTACCCTGTGGGACTGAACTCCGATTTAGACCTCTATCAACTCCAATTAAAAAAAGAATCCTATGTAGTAGGCCCAAAGACCCGTACTGGAAAGGATTTACCATGGTTTTTATAATGTCATTTTTTAATTTAAAAATATACTTCACATACTTACACAAAAGACTGAAGGAAAGGGGATACCACAGAGCACTGTGACATACTTTTCTACCAGAGGTGACAGAAAATAGTCCTCCGAGTTCCAGACATTGTATCATTGCTGCCAGCCTATGAAAAGATGCTTAACTACCATAATTTGGCTTCAGTGTGCTGCAGACAGATTTCATTCCTTTTAATGTTTGTCAGGAAGCCTTGAAGGAATTGATAAAAGACTTTTTTGATTTAGAAAATAATTTCTCAGATTTTATTTTTAGTTTTAAAAAAAACAAATATCTAGATTTTTAGAATAATGTGCAACAGAAAAATAATGGTGATAATTTAATATATATTTTCAAGAAACCAGTAGGGCAAATTTAAAATGTTCACAAAATAATGTAATGATAAATGTTGGAGAGGGCAAATATCCTTCTATCTCTCATTTGATTACTATGCACTATACATGCTTTGAAAGACCATGTAGTACCCTACGGACTTGTACAATGATTATAAATATAAATATAAATCAGTAATTGAAATAAATATTTTTAAAACAAAGGTAAATAAACTCATTACAACTACTCAGAGTGATAGATTGTCCCAAACTATATTTCTTATCAGCGATACCTTCTTAGTAACATCAGCTTGGTGCTTGATCTTAAACTGAGTGAATCTTAGGCTTTCAGAGTTAACAGCATCCTTAGAAGGCAGGTGTGGACAGGGCAGTATTTTTCAGTCACCATACTGGGATCCAGTCTTTGCTTTGGATCTACTAAGCCTTTAATAGCTCTGAGTAGATTTCTTTTCCTATAAAACAGGAATAGAAGCATATTATTGAATTGTAGGAAGGTAAAATATTGTATAGTCTAAATGAAGACATTTTGTAGTCTGTAAAGCAATTTAAAAAGATTGGAATTGGCGCTTAATTAAAAGGTGAGCTCTTAAGTGTACCCTAAGCTCTGTCTTCCTCCTGCCTACCTGAGAGTACCTTCTCTTTTTTTAATCTTTATTGTGATTTCTGGTTTACATATAATTGTACGTCTTTGTGGGGTAAGGTATGGCTTTTCAAAGCATGCATACAATGTGTAGTAATTAAATCAAGGACCTGAGAGAATCTTCTAAGCATGAACTCTAAAATGCCCCTCTGAGTTAGAGCATCACCAGAAAATATCCTTGTTCAAATCTAAATGTTAACAACAGATAGCTCAAATATGTTCATTGTATTAAATCAGCTCCCAGCTCAGATCCGCCTGCTAATGAGCTATTTAAAAAGCAGCAGAGTGGCATGAAAGTTAGGCAGACACTGAGGGGTCCTATGGAAAATAAAGTCAAAATTTGAATCTGATAAAGCCTTGTTTTTGTGAAGGATAGGTGAGTGTAGTCCAATGCTGAGCTCGAACCTTGAACACCAGAGGAATAGATCGGTATAACTGGTCAGTAACCAGAAGAAGGACTCTGTGTAATGGCACGACTTAGGCATGAAACTTAAAATCCAAGGACGTCTTACAGACGTCAACCCCAATTTTGCCATGGGCAGAGCCACCTTTCACTTTGCTCTGTCTTTATCTTTACCTTCATCGCACAGTGTTCCACAGACAGCCAGATTCCACTGTGATAAGCCAGGCTCGCACGTGTTTGCCCCCTGCTTCGATGTGTTTTTTAGACTTTTGCTAGCTTCCATCTTCTTTAGAGACTGCGTCTGTCTTTTATTGTATACCTAGAAATACACTTGGAAATCACACAGCTCATTTTGGAAATGTCTTTAGTTCTAAAATCATCTGTTTTGGGGAAATGACCACCACTGAGCATGTCATAATAAATCCTTACATTTCTGGGTCACTGCTATGGATTTGAAATTATTGTTTTGCCATTTTATGATACCTTACCTCACAGATGACATAAAAGTTACATTAAGTTCACTTTATTTATAAGACAAGCTACTTGCATTCATTGCTTCTATAATAACCACCAAAGTGATGTACACATTGTTTGGTTGCTTTTAGGTTATGGCTTATCTCCAGCCATCCAACAATACTAGCTCTTGCCATTTAGTTACCTTTTTTCCAGAGTAGGCATTGGGTTGGGTGGTAAGAAGTGACACTGGTCGAAGCACAAAGAAATGCAGAGCTAGCCGTTTAGCAGAACGGCAGCCCCTCTTCCAGGCGAATTACGCTTCAAGCACTCACTACAGCAGACTGTCATTCTGGTGGCTGACATAGAGCAGAGTGAGCCATGGCATTGCTCTAATGGCTAAAAGAAGTCTGTACGTTATTTTTATTTTAAATCTGCAATTATCTTCACACAAGAAACTCCAGATACTTACCACCATTACTTCGCTTTTGTGATCTCACACAGAGTTTGTTCTGACCTGTATTTAGTCTTTAAAAGCAACTAGTCCATTTCCGGAAAGAAAATAATAGACATTAATGAAGGAAGAACATAGCCTCATGTTCTGCCATTAACAACAGTAAATTGATTTTGATTGCTTTCTTGTATATTGCTGCTTTCATAATTTCTTAATGGGATGAGCAAATGCTTATAGATATGACTGGATCACTGGATTTTAATAGAGCTTGTTCTGCAATTTGGCTTAAAAATAAATAGATAGATAAATATAGGTCTATAAACAGAAGGTCCCTTCCCCCACACATGCCTATGTTTATAGATATGACTGGATCACTAGTGTATATATCGTATTTAGATATCATTCTACTTCTATGTCTTATTTAGATATCATTCTCAACAGTTCTGAGTAATAATAATTTGGTTGCTGTCACAGAATGTACCATGACTTTGGACAAACCTTTGAAATATCATGGTATATATTTCTTCTTTTCTTGCAGAGCAAATTTAGGTACAGCAATTGTATGATTTCTGGGTCTTTGCCTTTTCAGTACTTTAGCTGGGGCAAGTCAGTAGCAGGCAATTTTAATCATTTTAAATTTCCAAACCTACTGGACAATTCATTGTTGTTACAAGTTCCATAACTGTCTTACACTGGGCCATCACAGGGGTGGCTCAGAATTAGGTGTTCTGCTTTCTTCCTTTACCATATATATATTCAACAATCTTTAACCCAAGGGGCTGTACTCCCAGTCATAGTCTTTACCAATGTCCTCTTGCTCTGAACTCATGTGCCTTCTTAAATCTCTTGATATGTGATATGTGTGGTTTCCCTAACTTAGTGTTTCTCAAACCCCCTTAAACCACATGCTTCAGAAGGACCTGAAGTGCTTTTCAGAAATGCAACTTCTTGGATCCACTTCAGAACCACTGAATAAGATTCTCCAGGCTCATAAGACCCAACAATCGCCTTCTGAGCGTATATTGAAAAGAATTGAAACAGGGTCTTGATGAAATATATGCATACTTGTGTGTATAACAGCACTGTTCAGAATAGCCAAGAGGCTCAAACAGCCCAGTTTCCATCAACGGGTAAATGAATTAAACAAAATCTGGTAAATTGGAATAAAGTATTATGCAGCCCTTTAAAGGAAGGAAATCCTATCACATGCTACAACATAGATGAACTTCCAGGACATTATGCTAATCAGACAAATGCTGTATGATTCCTTTCATATGAAGTTTCTGAAAAGCCTAATTCATAGGAACAGAAGGTAGAAAGGAGGCTACCAGGGACTCAGCGGAGGTGCGTAGGGGACTTCCAGCCGGCGGATGTGGGTTTCAGTGTTGCAAGACAGAAAAGCTCAGACATTTGTTTCCCAACAGTGTGAATGTGCTTAATACTACCAAATGTACGCTTAAAATTATAGATCTATTTTTATGTGCAATTTAATGTTAGGGGCTTAAATTTAATGTTATTTTTTTTATCACAATGAAAAAATAAAAAGATTCTCTGAGGTAAGTCTTAGAAACCTGCATTTTAACAAACTTGCCAGGTGATTCTATTGCACACCAGCACTGAGCAGCACCCCTCTAGCTAGTTGCTAATTCCTTTGAGGAGTTTTACACAATATTGCAATGGTTCCAATCAGGTGATGTAGCAAAGTGTAGGTGGCCTCTAAGTCTATAACAGAGTCTAGGTGGCTATAAGTAATAGAAAACTATTTCTTATAATTCTGGATGCTGGAAGTCTGAGATCAGAGAACCAGCATGGTTGAGTTGGAGTCGGATGAGGGCTTCTTCCAGGGTACAGACTACCAACCACTCCCCATTTGCTCACACAGCAGTAAGAGAGCTAGCCAGCTCTGACTCTCCTTACAAGGATGCTAATCCCACACAGGAGGGCTCCATCCTTATGAATGAATAACTTCCCAAAAGCTGCACCTCCTAACACCATCACATTGGGAGTAGGGTTTCAGCATACGAATTTTACATAGACAGACATTCAGTACACTACAGATGTCTTGGACAGATGTTTGGACTATTTGGAGGTGGTGAGACAGGTAGGAGGGAGAGTTCACTTTTATTATTTATCTTTATATTATCAGGTGTTTCTATAAAAATGATCAATTTCTAGTTTCTCTAAAATAATCGGAAGAACAGATTTCCTTTTATTCTGTCACACCTGTATCCTTCACAGGATGGACTTAGTCTCTCCCTGGTTACCTCCTCACCTCACCACAACACAGGCAGAGGCCTGCATCTCTGCCTGCACCAGGAGGCCTATCCATCTGCCACCTCTGCTACTTGGTATACAGTTTCCATCGCCCGCTCAACGACTGCCTATATTGCCTTGATCTGGGTCTTAGTTCTCTCATCACTGGCCTTTAGGTCAGAGAGTGTTAGAGGAACACTTTCCCTATTTGAATTGTACGATGATGTTTTGCTTCAAGTATTACGAATAAGAGAGTTATCACTCACGTGGTTCATTGTGCTAACTCCTCGTGTACCCTTTATTTACCCGGACTAGGTATTAAGTGGATGTTTTAATCAGATTGTTCCACTGAGATCTCACTAACTTCTCAGGCTTTCTCACATTCCTTCCTCACCTTTCCTTTCCAAAGAGCAGCCTTTGGAATGATTAAACGTGATTACAGGTTCATTTACTTTTCTAACATTAGCTTTTATTACAGTCAGTTTCGAATGTTCTTGAGAATGTAGTCTTTCTACCTAATCAGTAATCAGTGCTTCTTAGAACTCATTTAATCAAACTCTAGCAACTTCCAAGCACAAACACATACATTAGATAATGAAAACCAGTTTCAGTGTGATTTTAAATGTTATAAGAAATTGTGTCAAAAATAGTTTCCTAATTCTTTATTATGGAATATCTGAAATTTACAAAAGGAGAGGATGCTATATGAACTGATAGGTTAGTCTTATCATCCCAGAAAGAAAAAAAAAAATACCAAAGGCACTGGTTTTGTAGGCACAGGATCAGGAGCCAAGTCAGGGAAGATTAACCAGCCAAGAGTGGGGTAGTTAGACAACCAGTAGTAAAAGTATCAGTAATCAATTCAAATATATCAGATAAGTTTAAATCCATAAGTTTATAAGTCTAGTCAAAATTCAACAGGAGTCCTAACCAATGGGAAACACTGGGGAGTCGGTACATTATTTTGAAAGCTGATTAATAAGGGAAGAAATGAATAACTTTACTATAAGAACTGTACCTTGGGGTAACCAAATACATAAGGAAGTTTTTCTTAATCTAAGGAAAGTGTGATGTAATTAGAATATCATTGTTTTGCAACCCCTAATAAAATCTCTAGGCAGAGGGAACCAGCAGTTAGCGTAATGGCCATGTCGCTGGACTCCCACGTAGTCAACCACGGTTCGTGTCCCGGACCCGGTGGCTTAAAACTCACGCCGGGCGCGTGTGCGTGCGTACCCAAGATCCCGAGAGGAGAATGGAGGAGAAGGGATTGCGGCGTGACCATCCCCCCTGGGGGGTGATTTCTCGCTTTCTGTCTCTATGTCTCTCTCTGTCTGTCTGGTGAGCGCATGCGCCCTACAGTGAAAATCTCTCCAAAAAAAGAAAAAAAGAAAATCTCTTGGCAGACCTGGTTCACAATAACTAACAGCCAGGTTCTAAGTAATGAGCATCTCAGGTTCGAGTCTGTTTTATAATTTGTTTGTTTGTTTTTTGTTTATTTTTGAGAGAGATTTTGCTATAGGGTGCGTGTGCTTGCCATAGAGAGAGAAAGCAAGAAATTACCCTACAGGGTGTTGGCCATGCTGTAATCCCTTCTCCTCCATTCTCCTGTCAGGATCTTGGGTACATGCACACATGTCCAGAGTGAGGTTTTTTTTTAAGTCACTGGGTCTGGGGCTTCAACTGTAGTCAATAACGTGGGAGTCCAGCGATGTAAACATTGTGCCATCTGCTGGTCCCTGTTTTATCATTGTTAATAGCCTAACTCTAGATGTTTATTAGGAAAATGTCCAGATTCAATAGAGACTATTGCAACAAAGCAAATGTTCTGGCTCACCACCTGAACCATTGCTGAGGACCTGGGCGACTCAGTGCAGCTTCTTTTCTACTCGGATCCTGGAAGCACAAGCACAGAGACCCACCATCATTACGCGTCATCATCATTAGGTGATTCTGTTACATCGGGTAGTGAAAGTCATATGAAAATATATTTAAATGAATGCACACCAAGTCTCTAATGTGGCAAAAAGGAGAAAAATTATTTTTATGTTATGAAGGTGAAGTACTAATATATTGTGACTTTCTTCATGGTGTTTTGTTTGGCTTTATTTTAACTCCACTGTGGTGAAACTTTCAGTCCTTATTTAAAAACCTTGTTCATTTTTTTTAATGTTTATTAAAATAATTTACTCTACTAGTGACTCAAGTGAATTAAAAATTATGCTTTTGAGCTGTGTCTTCCTGAAATGGGTTATAAGTCTGAGATGCTTAATCTACTGATTAAAAGTCATTTTAGCTGGGGCCATCAGGTGGCGTAATGGTTACGTCACTGGACTTCCACATAGTTGACTGCAGTTCGAGTCCCAGACCCAGCAGCTTAAAACTCATGCCAGGCGAAGTGTGTGTGTGCCGAAGATTCCAAGAGGAGAATGGAGGAGAAGGGATAGCAGCATGGCCATCCTCCCTGAGGGGCGATTTCTCACTTTCTCTCTCTCTCTGTCTCTCTGACGAGCACACACGCTCTATAACAAAAATCTCAAGCCATTTTATATATTATCTGTCATGTGAGGATGTGGAAACTGATAGACAGAGTAAGGTTAGATATTGCCAACAAAGAAAAGGTATAGAAACCAAGAGACCAGCCATGATAAGGGAACAGTGTCTCAGGACCCTCTGGGTAAAACATCACCCTCTAACTATTCCCTTCAGTTTCACAGTCTTAAAACACAGCAAGGGAAAGATGAGCAGGAGAGATCAGAGGAATGGCAGAACTTCCTTCAAGATAATGAGCTAGAAAAGAAACTAAACACCTTCAGCAGGCCAGTAACGTCTTTAAAAAGTAGCTGAAGGAACATTTGATGATGGATAGGACCTTAGTGTCAAAACAGTCTGGGAGAGATCAAGACTGCAGAGACAATTTCAGGGAAAGTGAAAAGTCTGTGAATACAAATCTAAAAAACAATGCTTTAAGTTAAATCAGTTATTGATTAAATGAATTTGTAAATCATTACATATGTAATATGAAAAAGACATCAAATTGTATTTCAGCTGTGGCTTATTGCTCTGGATTTTGTGTGCAATTTCAGCCCCCTTTACCTTTCCCTCTTCTAGAGTACACACTCCTCCATAGTATTGCTAGTTTAGCTGTTGGATTGGAAAATACTATTTTTGAAAACTGAGGTCACTGAAAAGAAAAGGGTTTTGTCTTTTTTACATGTTATCCACACTCCTGGGGACCCTGGCTACTTACACTGTGGACTATAGGACCCCATCACTCAACAAAATGTCCTAATTATCAGCAAAAGACAATGAGAAAATAAGTAACATGTTATTTATTAAATATTCATATACACAGTGACTAGAATCACAGCATCTATATTAATAAGGGTTCCGAGACACTGAAGAACGTTGTCCCAAATGGCAAGGGAATATCATCTGTAGCTCTTGCCCTGCCATGCCATTCCCTGGCTAATGACACGTTGTCAAAGCTCGTAAGCATTCGAAGAAGAACATTCATTGTCCACACCACACTCCAGAACAGATCACAGCAAACCTCTCCGAAACTGTCCAAAGGTCCAGTTTCCTCTGTTTCAGTGAGTGTGGCTTCACGTCAGTGTGGTCCATATACCTGACTTACGTTATGTTGATATCGCCACTTTCCTCCAGGTGTCATTCTCTATATCCTGCTGGTGGGGTATCCACCCTTCTGGGATGAAGACCAACACAGACTCTATCAGCAGATCAAGGCTGGCGCTTATGATGTAAGTAATAAGGGATGGGGTAACCTTAGATGAGGGTTTGTTTCTATCAACTGACCAAGAGTCAGATTTTCTTCCTTATTTTTCTTTAACAGAATGTTCAGCAGTTTGGCTAATTTGCCTCTCTTAGGGAAGGGAAGATATAGAGTAAGACATGCAGCATATATATTCAGTTTGTATTTCCTTTTCACTCTCTATCCTAAGATACAAAGAAAAGCAGATCCAAATCTCTGAGACCTTTTTTTTTTTTTTTTTTTTTTTTTTGGTTCTCAAAATTTTCAAACCTTGGTACAATTTGAAACATATAAAAATTAAAATGTCTCTTAGAAATAATTCTTAGTTGCATTATCTATCACGCAATTTTAAATGAGGAATAGGTCCAGACTTCTCCAGGCTGAACCAGTTTCTCATTTGCTATCTGGAAACCTACCAAACCTTAAGAAGCAACCTTGAAAGTTCCTTCAACAGTCCCTTACAGCAAGTTTTCTCAACTGCTCAAGGCAAGCTTCCAAAATTTAAAAAATGACTATTTGCCAGTGGGCAAAAATTACAGGCATTAGAAGCAGTATCATCTTTCTCATGCTTTATTTTGCCAGTGTGTCACAAGCTGCTCATTTTATAACTACTAAATGTGGACTAATTTAGTATCATGACACATTGACCATGGCTTTGCTCTTCAAGGTTGGCTATAAAAATTCATGAATTGGGAAAAGAAACTAATATTCTGCAGTTAGCGACTAATATAATGTAAATTCCTCTTAACCCACAAAGAAAAGAAGTTTTACTATTTATGCTAATTGTGTGAAAATAAGGTAAAATAATTATTAACCAAAAAAAAAAATCCACCTAAGTTAGGATAAGTAGCTTCATCGTATAGCTATTAATGTAAAAATGGATTACTAATGGAAATTGTGAGTTAGTTATCTTCATGTACTTTGGCAAAATGTATAATTAGGTAGGTTAACCTTCTTGAAATGTTATATTTGAAACCCTGCTGAAATTCTGTAGTCTCAGATTTCTTACCACTGCAATAGTCCAAACAGTTACGTCATAGGTCTGTTTGGGCCCGGGAATTGGAGCTGCTTTCTTATCTTTCCTATTCCTGATCATGCATGTGAAACTGTATCAGAGCTCATTTCAAATCATGGCGTAGGAGAATCATGGCGTAGTACCACTGGCACATGGGACCACCTCTCAGACTTTATTAAGTTCTTTAAGGAATTATAAGAAAGTTTACATGAAATTTCAGATCAAAACAAAGATAATGTAAAGAGGAATGAAAGATGATTAAATTACTTCTCTATGTTCTAAAATGTATTCACTATACTTAACATGCAATTTATTATGTATATATGTATATAGATAGATTTCTCATTACTTTTTAATATATGCAATTGTAGACATAGAGAGAGGACAATTTATCTAGATCGGTTTATCTATTTTAGATACAATTTAACTTACACAAAAAGTAAATTTATCAAGAATGTCAACCTCACCTCTTATAAAAAGAATGAATGTATTTGTCCCTTCTCTATTTGACTGTTTCTATTTTTAAAACTCTTTTATAAATTTGTATTTTTTAAGTTTCCATCACCAGAATGGGACACAGTGACTCCTGAAGCCAAAGACCTCATCAATAAAATGTTAACCATCAACCCTGCCAAACGTATCACAGCCTCAGAAGCACTGAAACATCCATGGATCTGTGTAAGTAACAGTCCTGAGACCTCTGGAGCTAAAATGAAAAATAACTTCTTTCTTACTATTTTTTTTCATAGATTTAAAATGATTTTTTGGAAAAAAATGAAACTCAAAATGAATAAATTATTAACTCAAAGTATTTTAAAAAGTGAATTTTGTAGTGGTGGAAAATGCCAGTTCATGAGACCAGTAGGTGGCATAATAGTGAAAGGTGCTGGATCCCACGTGGACAACTTTGCAGTTCCAGTCTCTGACTGGCAGCTTGAAAAACACACAGACACGTATGCATATGAGCCCAAAAGCCCAAGAGGAGCATAGGCGAGAAGGGATTAGGGGGTTGCTTTCTCATTTTCTCCTCTCTCTTTTTATCTCTCTCCTTTCCACCAGTGAGCACAGACACCCTATAGAAGTGGAAACAAAACAAAAACATGATACTTGGAAGCTAGGAATAAAGTTTTAGTAGCCTAAAAGAATGGATGTAGTTGTTGGAATATACTTTAATGGTATTAAGAAAAATAGCATGACACTTGGGAATCTAGAGACTTCAGCAAATTTCTAGGAATATTTGTCATATGCTGGACAATAAATACGGTACTAAGTAAAAGGTAGTCCAATAGAAATATGATTAATATGATCAAATCTATTGAAATAAAGGTAATTTGGGAAATTATCAGCATTCATTTCTATTATTACTGCATACATCAATGTTGCATTTTAGTCACAAATAGTCTTGGCAAATCAGTCTTTATTTTTATTTTGGAGTTTTTTATTTTTTTATTTTTGTTTGTTTGTTTGTTTTGTTTGTTTGTTTGTTTTTTGCTATAGAGCACGTGCAATCGCCAGAAAGACAGAGAGAGACAGAGAGATAGAAAGCAAGAAATCCCCCCCCCCGGGGGGATGGCCACGCCACAATCCCTTCTCCTTCATTCTCCTCTTGGGATCTTGTGCACACACACACGCGCGCAGCCTCAGTTTAAGCCACCAGTTCCAGGACTCAAACCACGGTCGGCTAAATGGGAGTTCAGCGACACAGCCATTACGCTAACTGCTGATCCCAGTCTTATTTTTAGGTTACTTTTGCCATTGAAAACTCACAAGTGGATCCAATGGATGCAGGCACCATTAATAAAGAGTTGGTGAAGTTAATATACTGTAGTGCTTTAAGTATATGTTTTAAATATCCTTGAATAAGTCCCTTTTCTCCTCTTCTTCCAGCAACGTTCTACTGTTGCCTCCATGATGCACAGACAGGAGACTGTAGACTGCTTGAAGAAATTCAATGCTCGAAGAAAACTAAAGGTAAGAAATTTTACATTTGCGTGGGGGAGGGGTATTTTTGGCAGAATTAGAAGTGAAAGCTGTAGGAGGAAAATAACATGTAGCGAAGACATTTATATGTGTAGACCTCAGTACTCTTACTGTTCTCTTTCTGAGTCTTTGGAAAATGGAATATGTACCAGCGTCAAACCCATAATGGGAGTTAGACTCAATATGGCAGCGTGTGCTATTACTCCTTTCAGCGGAAAACAGCTGTGTAATTTGACAATCAGAATTTGGTTCACAATTGAGGGCAGTCTCAGCATCTTGAGACATACACCTGCAACTCTCAGGAAACCAAAAAACAAAACCAGCAGTAAAAATCCCCCAAGTGAAAGTAAAGCCAAGAGAAGATCTGTTATCAAAGACTTTATTTGTTAGGCCAACGATCTGCAGGGGCAACCATAATGTGTTGTGTTCTCTTTGCCAGGGTGCCATCTTGACAACAATGCTGGCCACGAGGAATTTTTCAGGTACATGTGTTAAGAACTCTGCTCTTTATCCTCTGCTCTCCTCTTCAGTAATCTTTTTAGAATGTAAAGCAGTCCAGTGACTAAAAAACCCTGTGTTCAGAGATAGTTAGGGAGAGGGTCCTTCCACTTCCCTGGCATCCTGGTGCTGTCCCTTCTGAGCCTCATGGGCACCTCTCACCAGAGCACCCCAGGCAGCTTCTCCAGTGGGCAGAGCTGGTGCAGGATGGGAAACCCATCTGTCAAAGGCTGGGATGCACACAAGTTGTGAAGCTATATACTCCCTCATTTTGAAGTTCAGATTTTCAAACATAGTAACTATGAATAAGGTTTTGTTTGTTTGTTTGTTTGTTTATCTCATTCTCATAAGTAATATTAATAAGCAAGATTTTTAGAAGACCATTATTGAGGAACCCAATTCTCTAAGACTGACGCTCTTTCAAAAGTACAATAGTCTCTTGGCAGGCTGTAAGAGTGATTACAGTTGTCAAAGGCATCTAATTCAGGGAATCTACCATACGGTAACAGCATAGGGTAATAAATGTTCCTTAAAATTATTTCATGGTAAATATAAGTTTGTTGGGTCCAGCAGGTAGCATAGTGGTTAAGGTGCTGGATTCCCACATGGACAACCACAGTTCAAGTCTCAGACTGGTAGCTTGAAAATCATGCTGGGCATGTGTGCGCACTTGCCCCAAATCCCAAAAGAATAGAGGAGAAGAGATTGTGGTATGGCCACCCCTCACCCCGGGCTGTGATTTCTTACTTTGCCTTTGCCTTTCACTGTCTCTCTCTCTTTCTCTCTCTCTTTCTCTCTCTGAGCACACACTCCCTATGGCAAAAAAAAAAAAAAAAAAAAAAACTAAAAGAAAAATAAAATAAGTAAGTTTGTTAACGTGATGCACTAAAAGAAGAAAACCGTTTCTTTATTGTAGAGATATCTCTAAAATGGAGATAAAGTATACATTTACTTCCAGAAATTAATTCACTTCCAGAGCCTTCTCCCTAAGTAAATTATCTCAAAGGACCAGGTCTCTAAAAATCAAATTTTGGTAAACGGTAATCAGTCTTGTGTATGGGGAGGAACTGAAACAGCAATTAAGCTGTAGTCAATAAACTTACTATTTAAATGTTTAGTCTTGGAACAGTTGTCAAATGTTAGTGCCAAAAATACCACACTTCACTCTGCACACTGTTTATAGGACAGTGATCGGTAGCACCGCATTATTCAGCCATTTCTTCAGTTCTCTCTTTTACTTCCTGCTGCAGACTTAGCCTGGGCATAATAGTGCTCTCAAGTGATGATTGAGCACATCATTAGCAAATGTTCTTCAACCAGTTCTCCTTATTATTCACAACTGAATACAGAGTCACCTTTCCCCTGCCTTTGTATTTAGTTATAGATGATGTGAAACCACAGGAGGCCTTCCAAAGGCTGTGAAACCATAACAGTAATAATATTAATAGTTCCATGAGGAA